AAGGGTGAGCGGAAAGGGGTGAACGAGTGTCAGATTAGTATTAACACCACAAATTTCAAGGCTAATTTGAGGTATAGACAATCAGCCACCGTGGAATAACTACAATTTGAATTCGAAAAACAAATAACATTACGAGTAATATACATTTAATACGAAAAAGCTCTGTTACCATACTCCTTGCGTAGGTAAATCTTTTAGCACAAATTCGTGAGTCATGCACACAGGCCTTCGTATTGAGCGTCCAGGTCGAGATGGCAATTGACACTGCTTGTTTTACAGCACTAGACCTTGACTTGTTCCCGCGCCGGTTTGGTGTTATTTATAGTGACCATTCCAGTATCGTCCCAATCGAACCGTGGTCACGCTCCAGGTTAGGTCAGGGTGGAATTGTTTCCCTTCTGTATCCGACGCACATTAGACCTATTGCGCCTGAGGAAGTACACAAAGGCAGCCTCTGGATCGGGCGCCCGCGTTGTGTCTCTTCGGTACCGTGTGCTTTATACTTGGCATCAGTTTAAAGTTAAAGGCTCACGGACCTCTTCACTAGTACTCAGAACACTATTACTCCATCTGCGTCGGCGTCTGAGAGCTCATAACATTGTAGAGTGAATAGAAAAACTAGGCTGCCATTCAGCATTGTATTTCACTCTTAGCAAATGCTTGCTTCGAGTGTTAAGTATGATCGCTCGAAATTGCTTCCCTAATTAAAGGGACAGAGACATTGCCGCAATTTATTTACCCACTTTACATCCCTTTTCCCGTTTCGGCGTTTGAGAAGCATCTAAAGTGTTTACCTGTCAAATGGTAACGTAATCAAGTTTCTCACCGTTCTTAACGTGCATCTTTTGGTCTCTTACCTGACGTGATTAAATTGAATTACAGTCGACGACAATAAAAAAGCAAAACCCTTTCTTTGTGCCTTGGTTGCGGCCCATTATTTGGCTCTTAAAAATTAGTGTCTCAGCCATACTTAATTGCCATCCCTTCTGTTTTTTTTTTACTTTCCAGAAAACTCATTTTTATTCTTAGAGCACGTTCGCGAAGCGTCATAAGAGGTATGAATTTGGGTCTGCAGTTCAGCTCCAGATTTATTCAACAGACCCTGAGTTCTTCCCGTTCTTTAATTTGGAGCCGACATATTCCTGTACTCTCCACTCAACTTCGAAATGCTGGTCATTCCCATTGGCAAAATGTCCGACATACGAAGGAGGCCAAGGACAAGGAGAGAGCACGCATGACGGCCATCATTTTGAGTCAATTAAACCTAGCTATAAAAGGTATGCTTGTCGATTCCGTTTTGTTCTAACCACTCGTCCCCGCAGCTGGCGGCGGTAGCAGGGATCCTAAGCTGAACAGCAGGGTGGCTGCGGTCCTAGCCAACGCGAAGGCAAACAGAATTCCTATGGAAACATTGAATCGTCGGCTGTTAGCTGTGGATATTACTGATCCATATGTGATCGAAATGCAAGCACCGGGTGGAATATTTGCTTTGGTAGAGACCAGGGCCAAGAATATGCGTCCCATGCGCGACAAGATCCAAGGAATTGCTAAAAAATATGGGTAAGATTATGGTCCGCTTGAGGCGCATATGATCCTCCGATCCGCTCCAGGTTCAGGGTTTCAAAGGCCGCAGCAGGTTCGATCGCGAACGAATTCTTCGATCATATAGGACTTGTGTTGGTCAACGAACAGAAGGGCCTAGAAAACCTTGACAAAGCTACAGAACTTGCCATCGAGGCTGGTGCGGCTGACGTTCGAGAGACTACTTTAGACGACGGTAAAAAGTATTTTGAGGTGAGGGTTTGTTTCTCATTATGAAATTTCAAAGGGTATTGTCCCATTATTATTACGCACTCATGCCTCACGAGATCTTCTCTTCTGTCCCACTCTTAGCATTCTTGAGTCGAAATGGGGGTATAACGTCCTCTGAGAAGCAACCGCCTTTCTAACCATCTACTCGCTTCAACTTCTTCCATTTATTATTTGTCACAAATTAATTACTCACCAGCTTAAACCGCGCTCTCATGAAAAGTCGTTTCACTTTCGTACTTTAGGGTTTTCTGAGTCCAACCAAGTAACTGAAGCCTCATCTTAGCACCCCCTGTCTCAGTCTCTCGGCGGGAGGTGGGATCGACACAAAATGGATAGTTTGGTATTCCTATGATTAAGGATATTGTTAAGGTTCAACCTGAAAACCAGCCAGGTTCTAGGTCTAGTTGTAGGTCTATGCACTAGTTATTCACCCTCATTCGAAAAATAACGCCGTCAATCCTGGCGGTAACTGACTGCCCTGTCTTCTTGAACTGCAGTAACCATAGCTGCGTTTTCTCAGATTGAAAGACGGCGTTCTGCAAGTTTGCGGAACCAATACTGAAAATAACAACCATCCGCTAACGTCTTCAGCATGTATATGACCCATCTTGGTTTTCTTTATTATTTGTCTGACAAACAGCGTACTATAATGTGACGGTTCGAGTTCCCAGTGTTTATATGAATAAAGAAGAAGGCTGGTTGAGCACCGAAACAGTTTACTTATTATTTTGAACTTTTGACATCGTACAGGTGTCTATCGTCCGAGATAGTAGCAGCAACAGAAAAAGACAACACTTAAAAGGGTTCACAGCCAATCAATGTTCAGATATGTAAGCGGGGTGACTGCGCAGGGCTCTTTACGCTGGTGCCAACTCGATACATCGATTGATTGAGTTTCCATCCGTAAACCAGGCTTAAATCATTTCTTGGCCCGTCTTGCTTTCGATTTGGGTGATTACATTGACGGTTATGAAGTTGAATCCATTGCCAGTTTTGTATGTGTGGGCAACTACTTGCAACGCTTCGTCTATCTGTTGCACACCCAGATCCTGTTCGTGCATGCGTTCAGTCTTATCTGTGTAGTTACAAGAACAGTTTCAGCGTGGACTGCATACACTACCCCAGATTGCTATTTAGGATTTAGTCGGTCCTAAGTTTTCATGACCACGCTGCGCATGATAACTTTGGACCGAAGGATGATTCCAACACCTGGTTTCGCAATAATGCTTTCAGTCTGTTCTGAGGTGCACATGGAGGTGCTCTGAGCTGGCAACCTACCCTTACCTTCCCGGCGCAGGACTGGGTTAGTTAATAATAATATTCAAAATCTCGCTGCTAGGGAGGTTCGTGACATGGCTTGGCCAAGCCGTTTTCCTAGGAGCTCTTTTGCCACATCCCCTTGAAAGGGGACTTTGAGGAATTACGTCTGCTTTTCCACAGTGGGTGTAATGGGCTTTACTTCTCTCGCCACCATATTCTTTGTCTTAAGGCATGCTGCATTTAGAATTTATTTGTTCTGTGGAGTGTGAAGGTGCAGTTTTCGCTAGTCGACGCTAGCTCGGAGCCCAACATGCGTTTCGAGGCTACGTGCTTTTTGCTTTTCCATCCGTTTTGGCATCATGCCATATTAGGGCGAAGTTGAAGTAAGGGATACCTATATATGCGCCCACATCTAAGACTAATAGCTTCTATGCTCTTAACCTATCAATTTTCATCCTTCTAGGTTGACACTTAATTGGACAGTTTCCTATCTTATTAACAGACAACGACTGCAAATGAATAAGAGGTCGTGAAATTAGATGACATCAATAAGTCCTGCTAATCTCGTGATCTTTGCCTTGTTCAAATTCCTTCAATTTTCTTAGTCGGGTTTATCTGCCTCCGGCTGTGCCTAATAAGCATAATAGAGTGCCTACCGGTTGTAAATCTGCTGAGAGGAAACGCTCGTTATCGCCAACGATGAGTGACACTTGTTTGTGTTCACCGCTATCACCTTTGGGGCACATAGCAAAACTTACTCCCATAACTTTTCTCTTTGTTTTTAGTTTCAGTGTGAGCCCACTCAGGTAGACACCGTGCGACTGAACCTCGAATCGCACAATATCACTGTCTACGACTCTGACGCTCCTTACGTTCCAAGGGAGACAATTGAGGTCTCTCCCGAAAACTACGCCCTAATCTTGGAAATGTACGATCGGCTGAAGGAGAACGTTGACTACGTGGAAAATGTTTATGACAATCTTACTGAACCGTGAATAATCCTTATGTATTTTAGAAATAATCATTAACCTATCAGTTTTATTTTCACCACAGCGTCATCGCCTTCACCGTCTCATCTACTTTCATATTAGAGGACGGAGTCAACTAAATGTCCGATTTAAAGAAAAGACCTGATCAAATTGTGATTTGAGTCCTTTCACCAAGTTCCTATGGCTTTCTCTTTTTCTAGTATTTTTCCAACAAATTCTGAAAATAAGCTCACTTCTGCCCATGCTGGTGTCATGTGCTTGCTTTCCCTCTATAAAGAACCGATTTGCTGACATTTTGATGGAAACAGGTTAACCGTCAAACTTGTTTTCTATTTCCCACTGGGGCTTGATCAATGCACGCATCTCCTACTTGACTTTAAACGTTCTTATCAGCTCTCAAAGCGTTAGCTATGACGCGGAACCGTGTTGCCAAATGGCCATCTTAACCCTAACTCAGAACTTGGGTCTTCTTGGTTTGGGGTCGAGCTATACGTGGCGGACAACGGTAAATGAGCTTAGACTTGTTGTAACGGTGACAGAGTCGGGAAT